AAAAAAAAAAGAAAAACTTAAAGTGAGTCAGAGGTCCATTAACAGGAGAATGGATGAGCAAAAGTGTATTTCCACCAACCAATACTATTTGACAATTGAGAAAAAAATAGACATAACAATATTGACAAAATCGAAAACATTAGGGCAAGTGAAAGAAATCTTTGCAAAAGAGCATGTACTGGAAAGAACATTTGTAACACGTTCTAGGCAAGACAAAAATTACTGTATGGTGAAAACAGTGCTTGCCTGGGGGCAGGGACTGAGAAAGAAGATGAGGGGACCCATGGGGTGGGGGAAAGTAATGGAATTTGACAAGGGTTAGGATCTTGGTCCAGTCTGCCATAACAAAATACAATCACCTGGATGTCTCCAACAATACACACTTATTCCTCACAGTTCTGGAAGGTAAAAGTTCCAGATCAGAATGCCAGCATGGCTGGGTTCTCCTTAAAGGGTGTTGTCCTGGTTTACAGAGGGCTGTCTCCTCATCCCACACTGAAAAGGATGCTAATCGCACCATGAGGGCTCCACCCCTGTAACCTGCCAAAAGCCCCACCCCAAGTACCATCACATTAGCGCTTCAACAGATGATGGGGGGCGGGTGGGATGTACACATTCAGTCCATGGCAACAGGGATGTGCCGTTCCTCACAACTCATCAGATGGTCCTCTTAAGGTCTGCCATCTCCTCTATGTAAAAATTAACTCAAAAAATTAAGCACATCGGACTCTAACCTTAGTTAAGTGATGTCACTGCTGTGGGGAGCAATGCATACAAGTATTTAGTCACTGTGGTCTCTTGTCTGTGGTTGTGGGTGTTCGCTGAACAGCTCAACTTTTACGTACACCTGGCATTTTTCATAATGTGGAGAAAAATCTATACGCACAGCACTAAATCCAGTTTTTAAAAAGTTGCTCTGACAAATAATGATGAATAGAAATCAAAAGTATACACAGTAGACATTTTTAATTGCCACCCAGTTTAAAAAAAAAGGGGAAATATGAAAAATGTTATTTCAGGTACGCTGAATTCATGCTCCATTTAGATTCCCGAATCTCTAGCTGAAATCAGAGAACATTTGAAACCTCTTGTGTAGATATAGGATTTTTTTAAACCACCAAGTTAAATCATACACCCTCCAGGTAGGTTAAATGATTTGTTACCCAGAGTCTTCTGTTCCTTAAAGTAGAAAAATATAATCTTTAATTGCAAATGGGATCTATGGTACTTTTTACATTTCTTTTACTTCCAAATAAGATCTCTGTCCTTATTTGAAGGAAGGTTTAAAATTCTACCTCTATGTCTATTTATATATATATAGATTTTCAAAATGGGTATATTTTGGGCTCATTTTCAGGCCACTGTGATCAAACAAATATTGCAATAAAGCAAGTCACATAAATTTTTTGGTTTCTCAGTGTATATAAAAATTACGTTTACACTATGCTGTAGTTGGTTAAGCGTGTGAGAACATTATGCCTAAAAAAAATGAATTTAAAAATACTTTATTGTTAAAATAGATAAAAAGCAAGGCTCGACCGTACAGCACAGGAAACTATATTCAATATCTTGTAATAGCCAATAGTGACAACGAATATTAAAAGGAATATATATGTGTATAAATGAGTCAGTATGTTGTACACAAGAAATTACCAAAACATTGTAAACCAACTATAGCATAATAAAAACTATACTTCAGTTAAAAAAAATAAACTAGTAGTTTTGTAAAGTGTTCAAATGATGCTGTCTGATACTAACTGCTCTAGTAAAAGGTTTGGTAATCTACAGTCCATCAGTCAAACCTGGCCCTCTGTTTATTTTTGTAAATAAAGTTTTATTGGAACACACACACACACACACACACACACTTTATTGCTAAAAAATGCTAACCATTATCTGAGCCTTCAGTGAGTCGTAATCTTTTTGCTGGTGGAGGGTGTTGCCTGGATGTTAGTGGCTGCTGACTGATCGAGGTGGTGGT